ACTTTACAGAAAAGAACAGTATTCCCCTTCTTCTTGCAAATTAGATGCCTTCCCCCTTTATTCAGATCTCACCAAGAGAAAAAAAAAAAAAAGAAAACATTCCCCAATAAGAATCAGTCAGATGCCCAGTTAACCTTTAGGATGGTGTCATCTGTGTTAGTCAGGCAGGTGTGTGGTGTCATCCACATGGTCCACAGATATTCAAAGAAATCTCCTTGAGGTCAGGGCCTGCTTTATCTTTGGATCCCTGGCATCTGGCACAAGGCCTGGCACACAATAGCTGCTTAATAAACTCTGTTGTTTGATGGACCTGTGACTTAACTCAGAGTAGAAACTTCTTCCATCCAATGCTGCTCAGCAACTTTTCTGCAGGTTTAGAGAGTTTCCCTGAGCCCTGAGGAGTTAAATAACTTTGCCTCAAAAAGATTACGTTCTACTGAGGAGAATACAACACATACATGTAAATGTAGATACCAACTGTACAGGAGGTAATGATGAGGGAAAGGCTATACCGGCTGGGTGCGGCCTTTTGACTGAGTCCAAGTTTTACAAGAACAAATCTTTTTACTAAGGGGATTTGTTCCGTGAAGTTTGGATTCAGTCAGAGGTCTGCACTTGAGGACCTAGAGGCTGCATGTGGCCTTGAGGAGGCAGGCACTCTATCCCTGGGCTATAAGCTGGGTTCAGGCAGTCAGTCTTCATGCAGAAGATGGTGCTTGAGCTGGGTGATAAAGGAGACTAGCTATTCTAAGAGGTGGAGGTGAAGGTGGAGTGCATTCCCTGCATGGGGGCAACCAGGACAGAAGCGTAGAGATGGAAAACAGAATGCCATGCACGAAGGAGCGATGAGAGCTGTCTGGCTGCAGCAGAGAGTGAAGGCACTGTGGAATGTGGCAAGAAAAGAATCTGAGGGCCAAGGGGTGATGTTTTTTAAATTGCTAAAAAAAGGAGGTTGTGATTTACTCCTAGAGTTAATAAGGAACCCATGGAGTTTGTTGAGTGATAGAGCGATGTGGTTAGACCTCTCCTTTAGGAAAATCACTTGGAGGATACACTGGAGTGGGGAGGAAGACCAGTCAGGAGGCTGTGGCAATAGTCCAGGTGAGAAGTTATGAGGACTCAAAGTAGGGTAGTGGCCATGTCAGTGGAGATAAACAAGGGATGCTGGGCAAATAATTCAATACATGGGGTGAGGGAGTGTGAGGAATTGAGTATGACCGAGACACGGTGAATCTGAGTAACAGGAAAGATGACAGTGCCTGGTATAGCAAAAGGAATATTTGGAAGAGAAGTGGGTTTGGAAGGAAAGGTAATGAGTTTTGTTTTGGACATGTTGAGTTTGAGATGCCTACAGGACATCTAATTTGAAATATCAGGTAGATAGCTGGTGATGTGTGAAATTAGAGCTCCAGGGCAAGACTAGGAATGGATATGCAGATCTGTGAGTCATGTGTGTGGAGTTGTTACTTAAAGCCACAGGTGTTGATGAAGTTGAGATGTTGATGAAGAATGAGAGTGTAGAGGGAGGGTCCAGGCATGAGCCTTGGGAAACACCCAGTTAGTGGGTAGGATGATCCAGCAAAGGAGACTAATTAGTAGTCAGGCAGGTAGGATAACCAAGAGAGAGCAGAGAGTCACAAAGGGCCAAAGGGTTACCAAGAGTGTGATCGCTACATAAATGTCAAGAAGGAAGAGGACTGAGAAAAGGCCGTTCAGTTTGGTGATTGATGTTGGAAACTTTGAAGAACTCAGTTTCCATTTCAGTGAAGTTTGAAGCTGTATTGTGTTAGGTTGAGAAGTAAAGATGAGAGAAAAGTGGAGTCAACTGGCAGCTTTTTCTAGGATTTTGGCCAAGAAAGGAAGGAGACATATAACATGATCTTAAGGATCAGGAAGATCTGGGTGTATTTATAGACAGCAGGGAAGGTCCAGACTTGGAAAAAAAAAAGAATAAGAAAAAAAGGCCTTTACCAACCTTATAAGACCACTAGTTGCACCACATATAGTTCTATTTGGCAAAAATACATTGTAAACTTGTTGACATTTTTGTCCTCTTTGCAATTCATTGTTTATCTTTCCATGACTGAGAATTTTGATGCAATTACTACTGAGCTTTGAGACAAAAGAGAAATAGCTAAGGAATTCTGATGAGTTACCCACTTCATTAATCAGACTAAGCATCTCTAGTGACAGGGTTAGAATTACCACGCAGATTAGATGGCAAATTGCTATTCTATCTCATGTCAATCATTTCTAGTGACAGCAGTGTGATTACACTTCAGAAAAGAGCTTCTCTTGCCAACAGAATGAGGGCAACTCCAGTGCATGTAATAAATTTAGCAGGGTAAGCTGTCATATGTTCTCTTGAGTGGAATCTTTAAAAGACCAAATGATGTCTCATGGAAGATCTCAAAAGGGGGGAAAAACATCCCACTTAGAAATCGTTCTCCATCTGAACAGCCCTCTTTTTGCGATTCCTTTTCTTCCTTTTAAATACCGTGGTCATAAACTTAGAAACATTTCTTCCCACAAGTTTGCCTGCTCTTTATTCACACATATCAAGCCATAATCATTTGCACAGCTGTGATGTTACAGAGATGATGGCTAAAATTAAAAAAAAAAAGCAGAAGCATGTTTAAAAACTAAGAGCATCAAAGAACTGAGTGAAAGAGTAGACATACCTAACTGTATGTGGTGTTTTACAAATGAAGTTTTCAGTTGTTGCTCTTGGATGAAGTGGTGCTCACCATAGTGAAGGAGAGCCCTTGTTCTAAAAAGCCATGAGGTAGGCATCTAAGTGAGTCAAGGCAAACACACAGCATAAAGCATCATTTGCTGCAGATTCTGAAAAGGAAACCTGAGGAAGAGAAACAAGTAGGAAAATGTCTCATAAGTGAATCTTTGGAAGGAGAAAAGGAAAGAGGTTATGAAAGTCTGTCATGTATTCTCCCTTTCCTCTTTCCTCAGTAGAACATAGACCTGGCCATCTTTTTCCTTGGAAAAGGGATTAAGGGAGGGAACTCTTTCTAATTCCTTCCATTTTCTTTTCTTCTGAAGGCATATAAACTCAGCCTGAAAAAAAATTTATTAGAAAATAATTAAGTGGTTTTAGGAAATCAAAAAAATGCTTCTGTTTCATTTTTGGTGAGTCTTGCTTACTGAAAAACAACAATAACAACAATAATAATATTAAAGCATGAGCTTGGCTTAAATTCTAGAAACCTAGGTTTGAATCTAGTTCCTGTACTTATCAGAGGCAAATTACTAATCTAGCTGAGCCTCAGTTTCCTCATCCATAATATGGGGATAATACTTGTATAACCTGACCTCTACTGCCTGAAAGCTAGGTAAATGGAATTCCATCCCTCCCCCAGAGTTCTCCAATACCCTTAAGGGGTTTAGGGGGACATTTAGATTCTATGTAAATGGCTCCAGTCCTCATTGATGATATTCCCTTAATTGTAGGGGGTGGTCCTCCGTACCCCAGTTCCATTTCACCACTAACAGATTAACTTTCACACAGAAACATTTACTTCAAAAGGCATAATCACAAATATACGAACTTGTTTCCCCCACCACATGAGAGGCATAATCCCCTTCCCCTCATGCCTCCTCAGTCTCTGAGGAAGGGATGGTGATTAGGTTCATAACTTAGCTTGGTTCCTATAGAGCATAGCCCCATTTCTAAGTCCAAGACCCACCTTGCACTCAAGTCTCAAGATTCTCAGGGATTTTATTTTGGGCAGGCTGGCTGCACCATCCCACCTGCAATTCTGGCTCCAAGGTCATCACCATGACTCAATCTCCCCAGTCCTCTGAGGATCACCTCTAGTGCCTGTAACTGAGGACAAGCCACACAGAACAGAAGAAAATGGCCCCAGCCCATGTTCTCAGAGCTGGGGAAGAAGAGGAAGAGCAGGGGAAGGAAGTCCTTCCCTTCTCACCAGGTCACTTCATGCTGCCTACACTGTGGACACAGCAGGAAGAAGAGGTCCAAAAGAGCAGCCAAAAAAAAAAAGAGAGAGAGAGAGAGAAACTAGCTCAGTCTCACTTATTTTAAAGGTGCAAGCAGCCAATCAAAGGGGGTTAACCTCACTCACCTAGTAGGCTGCCATGTTAGGAAAACTGGGCATGCTCAGATGAGCCCAACTTAGACTTGCAGTACCTTACCCATGTCACAAAGTCACAGAATATAGGTCCTCACAGCTTCTCTGAGTCCAAATCCTATACTCTTTCTGCTATACCACATTGGGCTATAATATATATAGTACTCTACAATTCATAAAGCTATTTCCCCCACAACCCCATAAGGTAAGTACATTATCATCCTTTCTGCTGATGAATAAACTAAGGTTCACAGTGGTTAAGTGATTTATTTTACTGAGACCAGAACTTAGGTTGTCAATTCTAAATCCAATACTCTCTCCACAATATGAATGTAGTGATAAGAATCTGTCTTTTTTTTTTTTTTGGTGAGGCTATTGGGGTTAAGTGACTTGCCCAGCATCACACAGCTAGCAAGTCTCAAGTGTCTGAGGCCATATTTGAACTCAAGTCCTCCTGACTCCAGGTCTGGTTCTCTATTCACTGCACCACCCAGCTGCCCCTAGTGATAAGAATCTCAAACCTTAAGGCTGATTCATAAGGAAACTAGTTTATGAGAGACAGACTTTTTAGTGCCCCAAGTGCAGCTGTCTACCTATTTGTCTCAGTGAGAATTAGAAATTACAGTGTAATTCATGAGAGAAACTATCTCAATCATATGATGAATTTTGGTATATGATTGTTCTTTCTCTGCCTTCCAGCATGAAAGTGTTCCCTGAAAATGATTAGGAAAGAAAGTCGAGAGACAATATTGAATAGGTACAGAGTGTGTGTGTGTGTCTCTGTGTCTGTATGTGTATGTGTATGTCTATGTATACATAGACATACACACATAGATTTTTAAAGATTCTCCTTAACTCTGAAATGTGGTTTTTTTCTGAATGTTTTCAATGCAGTGCCTACAAAAGTATTTCTCTGCCTGGAAGAAGATGGTTTTTGAACACAAATTAAAGATGAAGAAAGCTGAAGCCCTAGCAGATTGGAAATGTCAGATAAAGTTCCTACAAGCCTGGAGGATCTACACAAGAATTCAGAAGTTGGCACAGGAGACACAAGCCATGGAGGCTTCTGTTAAGGAGCAAGTCAGGTATGAACATTAAGACTTTTTCGGGGAGATCATAGATTTTGAGGTGAAAGGGACCTCAAAGGCCATGTAGTCCAATCTCCTTATTTTACAGATAAAAAACAAAGGTCCATACAGATACAGTGATTTCCCCAAAGTCACACAGGTAGTGTGGCAGGTAGTAAAGGTAGTAAATGGCAGAGCCTGGATTGGAATCCAGTTCTTCCTGACTCCAGGTCTGGTGGGCAGATTCAACAGTTCAATAAATAAAACCCTTACGTTGTGGTAGGTTCTGGGTGTACAAAGACAAAAATGAAAAATGGTTTCCTTCTTCAGGGACCTTACATTTTATGGGGAGAATGCCTAATGAATACAAATAAGAAAAAAATAAGGTTACCTAAGGCTGTATGTAGTAGGCACTGGCCACTGGGGGTTTCTGAAAAAGCTTTCCACAGAAGGTGGCACTTCAGTTGACCACTGAAGGAAAAATAAGGATTCTGAAAGGCAGAATTGAGGAGGAAAATGCCTTTTTGGGTGTTGGGAGAACTAACAGTTAAAGTCTTCCAAAAACAGGAATTGTCTCAAGTACCCATCACTAGCAGAGGTCAAAAGACTCCTCATTAGAATATTGTAGAGAGGATTTCTGTTTAGATGATCACCCTACCAACTCTACAATTCTATAATCCTGAACCTGGCATATAAAGCTTTTCACAATCTGGCTCCCTCCCATCTTTTCAGCCTCATTTCCCACTTTAGGAATTCTACTCAGAAGTCAAACTGGACTATTTACTTTTCCTTTATTTTGTCATGCCCTCACCTGACTCCATGAAGCTACAAAATGAGAAGAAAGACTTCATGAGGGAAGTGAGATTGGAAAGGATGGTGTAGGATTTCATTAGGTGGAGATGGGAAGGTCATTTCAAAATGGCAGACGGAAGGGTATGGCAAGAGCACAGAAACAGAAAAGAGCAAAGTGTGTTTGGGGCTCCTATTATTTGCAAGAACCTTCTTCCTTCTCCTCCTTCAAGGTTCAGTTCAGGTGCCATCTCCCCCATGAATTCTTCCTTAAGCCTACCCACCTCCAGGCTAAGAGTGTTCCTTCCTTCCCTGAATGCTGCTCTGACCTCTCCATTTAATCATATTCTAAGTTGTATCATCATCATTACTATTATCACTTTTCCCTTTCGAGATTGTAAACTCTTTGAAGCAGGTACTCTTTTTTTAAAATCTCTATATACCCAGTAATTAGTTCATGTATTTGAATAGTGACTTAAACTTAAGACATTTTAAAGTGAATTGAATTGAACTTTTTGTTCTAAGAGTATTCATGGCAGTGAGACTTGTGAAATAAAACTTTGTATTTTTAACAAAAAGGCTATTGCTTGTAGTGCTCATACAACCAAATAATTACAATCGTCCCTTGAAGCTGGTGATAATATTCTATTTTGGGATCTCCTAGCACCCCTGTTATTGAAAATGTTTCAGATATTCCCTTTCTCATCCCAGTGTGACAGCCAATCCCAGACAAAATTATGAAAAAACAAAACATGTCTTTAATATTATTGATCATCTCTTTGCATAGCCTGCTTTCCCAATTTAGTGGTCCTGGACCTTTATGTTCACTTCTCCTTTTCCACTATCACCAACCCCTGACCGCAGGTGGGTGCTCTGGACTTCTAAACCTGACCACTCCTTCATTTATGATCAGTATTCTCAACCTTTCCTACCACTCCCATCAAAGTTAATTTGTCTTGAATCTTTCATGGTTTGGTGCTCTGCTAATATAATCATTGTGGTTGACATGTGCCCCTTCCTCAATAACATATTTGTGGCTTAATAAGGTTTTTCAGGAGACGATGCCTTAACCAAAGGTTAAAGCATGGGATTTCAGATATTGACAGTCCGAAGAACATGTTTGGGGTCAAGTAGGACTTTGGGAGTCCTTTAAATCATGTGATTTATTCATTCATTTGCTCAACAAAAATCAGTTAAGCATCTACTATATGTAAGGCACTATGCTAGGCTCTCAGAAAGAAATATAAAGAAGTAGAAAACACTTTCCTGTCCTTCAGGAACTCATGATCTACTTAATTACAAGTATCCAAGGACATATTGTATATGTAGCCTCCCTGCATCAAGTCTCTCCCCTCTCCAGTCCACCCTCCAAACTGCTTCTGATTACCTCTAGGTAATTTCCTCTGACCTCTAGGAGCAAATACAGACCCCACTGCTTAACGCTGAAGTCCTTTCACAACCTAGCTCCAACCTACCTATTCAGGTTTATTGTATATCATTCCCCTTCATCCACATCAGACCATTTCCCATCTCTGGACCATTGTACTAGCTGTCCCCCATACTTCTAATACAGTCTGTCCTCATATGGAGGCCTAGTTTCCTTCAAAGCTTAGCCTAAGAGCTATCTGCTATAAGAGCTTTTTCTGGATCCTTCTAGCTACTAGCGCCTTGTCCAAATTATCTTGTAATTATTCATTTAATATATGCTCATATATGCATATGATATCTCCTCCTCTACAGCATAAGCTCTTTGAAAGCAGGGACTGTTTCATTTTTATCTCTGCATCCCCAGCTCCTGGAATATTGCATGGTACATGGTAGGTCCTTGATAAATGCTTGATGATTGATTGATCAGTACCATATGAATTGGGGAGGTAAGTGGTGTTGTGGATAGAGTGCCGGATATGGAATCAGGAAGACTCATCTTCCTGAGTTCAAATATAGCCTCAGACACTTACTAGTGTGTAATCCTGGGCAAGTCACTTAACCAAGTTTGCCTTAGCTTCCTCATCTGTAAAATGAGCTGGAGAAGAAAATGGCAAACCACTCTAGTATCACTTCCAAGAAAACTACAAATGGGATCACTGAGAGTTGGACACAACTGAAAAACAACTGAACAGTAATACCAACCACATGAATAATAGAGGTTAATTATAGGAGGATAGAGAAAAGGGAAAACATTTCTTCAATGAAAGACTTCATGAGAGAAGTAGGCTTGGAGAAAGTCGTTCAAGACAGTAGGAGTTCATTAGTTGCAAAATAATTTCCAGTGGGGGAGGGGAATAGCAAGAGCGAAAACACAGAAGCAGAAAAGAGGAAAGGGTGTCGGGGGACAAAATAGGCCAGTTAGGCTGGAGCTTCGGGTGGACATAGGGAAGAAAGAATGCCAGAGAAATTGGTTGGTCCCATACATGTTAAGCTTTGAAATTTAGACTTTATCCTATAGGCAGTTGAGAGCTATTGAAAGAGTTTGGAGAAGGAAAGTCATAGAACCAAATGATGCTTTAGGAAAATTAGCCTGGAGCAGAGTAAAGGAGAGACAGGAGGAAGAAAAAGACCAGAGGTGGGAAACTAGTAAGGAGGCTCTTGTAACGGTTCAGGTATGAGGTAATAAGTACTAAATATCTACATAATAGGGGTGGCTGTGAGAATGGAGCAGATGGACTGGACTTGAGCCATGCTGTGAAGGAGTAATCAATAGAACTTGGTGATTTCTTGGATGTGGGCAGCTTGGAGAGGAAAGAAGGGAAGATGACTGAGGGTGTCAAGAAAGACTTCTTGTAGAAGCTAGTATCTGAGCTTTGTTTTGAGGGAAGCCCAAGATTCTAAGAGGTGGCAATGAGGAGGGATGGAGAAGGGGGAGAACAGCGGCTCAAGGGAGGGCCTGTGCCAGTACACAGAAGTGTTCCTGTAGTCCATAGACAATTTGGCTAGAATTCAGAGAGCTGCATGGGAGGAATGTGCTATCAATCTGTGCAGATAGGTTAGGGCTCCTATTGTAAAGAAAAAGCAGTTTATATTTTTTCCTAGAGGCAATAGGGAGTTACTAACACTACTTGAGCAGACCAGCACTTAAGAATATCAGTGTGACTTACTAGTTGTGTGACCCTGGGCAAGTCACTTAACCCCAGTTGCCTCACCAGAAAAGCAAAAAAAGAAAAAAATCAGTGTGACAGCTGGGTGCAAGATGGATTAGAGAAGAAAAAGATTGGAAACTGGGAACAAACTAGAAATGACCAACAGAATCACATGATGCAGAGAAGAGGAGGAAAATGAAGACTGAGAAAAGTAGGTGATTAGAACATTGTCGCCTTTTGAAAGAGTTGTCTTAGAACACAAGGGACAGAAGCCAGATTGTAGGGGCTGAGAGAAGGGGCAGCTAGGTGGTGTAGTGGATAAAGTGCCGGGCTAGTGTTGGGAAGATTCGTCTTCCTGAGTTCAAATCCAGCTTCAGACACTTCAAATCCAGCTTCAGACACTTACTGGTTGTGTGACCCTGGGGAGCTCACTTAACCCTGTTTGCCTCAGTTTCTTCATCTGTAAAATGATCTAGAGAAGGAAATGGCAAATCACTCCAGTATCTCTGCCAAGAAAACCATAATGGGGGTCATGAAGAGTCAGATTGGACCATCAGGTAGATCAGGGAATGGGGGAGTCTAAGCAAGAGAAGAGGAAGCTCAGTGGATAGAGTGCTGGGCCTGAAGTCAGGAAGACCTGCATTCAAATCTGGCCTCAGACATTTCCTAGCTATGTGACCTTGGGCAAGTCATTTAACCCTCAGTTCCTCATCTGTAAAATGAGCTGGAGAAAGCAACAGCAAGCCATTTTAGTATCTTTAGCAAGAAAACCCCAAATGGGGTCACTAAGAGTTGAACATGATTGAAATGACTGAACAACAAAAGAAGATGCAAGACAGTAGGGAAGGAAGCAGAAGTATCGGGTGTAGACCCCTTTTTTGAGAATGTTGGCTGTGAAAGTAGATAAATAGAACTATGGCACATAGGTGCTGCAGGGTCAAGTGAAGGGTTCATTTTTTCTCTTTAAGATAGGAAAAGATATATGCATATTTGGAGACTGAAGGGTAAAAACCTAATGGGGAGAGAAAGATGGAAGATACTGGAGAGAGTGAAGATAATTATGGGGAATAAGGTCCATGGTAGCTTCCTCGACATAAGGACCAATTTGCCTAGACAAAAAGGAACAACAGGATGCCAGGTCTCCCAGATGCT